CCGCCATCGCTTACACAGCTGTCGCCCCCCCCACCCCCTCCAGCCCAAGTGGCAAGAAGCCAGGGACAGAAGGAGTGGGCACCAGGTCTGGGGAGGGGGCCTGGGAAGCAGGAGGGACCGCCTGAGGTCAGAGGCCTGGTCTGAGCTTGCTATGTTCTGCCCGGGAGCCCTGCTGGCCAGAGGGGGCTGGGCGCTTTCGGAGGTGAGCTGGAGGTCAGCGTGGCCGATGTGTGGCTGCCACGTGGGTGGCCCAGCAGAGACCCAGGACCCACCAGCCTAGAGCAGCAAATAACTCCCTAGAGTCCGTGCGAGGGCAGGGGCCACTAGTACCTACTGGGGCTGCTTGTCCTGAGTGTCCTAGGAGAAGAATTCGGGAGACATGGGTTGGGACCCCTCATTTTATCCTAAAGATGGGAAAGACCTTCAGGATCTCTCAGAACAGGAAGGGCCAGCAGCAGTCCCCCTACCCTCAGCCCGTGAACACAGTCCAGGCAGGTAAACTGAGGTCCAGGTCAGGGGAGGGTCTGGCCAAGGTCACCTGCTGAATCTGGTTAGTGGATGTCTGCGGCAGGCCAGGGCAGGAGCTCCGGTTCTGGCCACGTCTCATCCCTCAGGCCCCATTTTTTCTGGAGTCACAAGAAGTGATGTGGATATGGCATGGGGACAATGCCAGGTCTCCCACTGCTTACCACCCTAAGGGGAGCCCCAGAAAATTCCAGAACTGAAGACTGACGGGTTGTCATTTCTTCCCAGGCAGGACCCAGGTCTGCTAGCCAGTGGGGGGTCTCAGCAGCTACTAAAACCTGGTCCCCACCTCTGAAGAGCCCGTGCTCCAGGAAGAGGACCCAGACCCCAAAAGGGGAGGCACATGGGGCCTGGGACAGCCCTGCACAGTGGGTAGGGCCATCTGGCCGGCCACAGCCCCGTCTCTGTGACCTTGGGCAGGTTAAAGACCCTCTCTAGGCCCAGGCTCCTCTGTGTGACTTCATCTGCTTAGCTAACTAATGTGCCTGAGCACCGTCTCTGGCCTGGCTCTGACTCTTGCCCTACGGGGCTCCTGGGCTTGGCTGTCCAGAAGGACAGAAACCAAGCACATCGTCACCAGGGCTTTGATGGGGGAAGTGCAGGCAGCTGAGGGAATGTCTTGCCAGGGCAGCCAGCATGAGGCTGGCCCGGTGCTCAGAGCATGGTCCCCATGTCCATGGCTGCTCCAGTCTCTGGAGGGAGAACCTAGGACAGGACTCAGGTGGCAGGAGAAGCAGGTGCGTGGGCCGGTGCTCAGGGGAACCGAGTTGTCACCCTGTAGTGTAGATGAGCAGGAACTTCACTCCGTACTGTGGCTTTGCTCAGATTTGCTGAGAGAAAGGCAAACTGGAATCACCCCCTTCTTCCATGCCCAAGCACTGGCTAATAAGGGGAGTCCAGAGAAGGCCCCGGACAGGGGTCCATGCTGGAACCTCATGTCAGGATGGGGCGGGGGCTGAGGAGGAGGACGTCCCCAGTTCTCTGAGCCCAGAAGGTTGATCCTTTGCCCCTGCAGCCTCCAGGCAGAAGGAATTTGCCCAAATTCAGGCTTGGTCTTGGCACAGTTGGCCTCACTCCGTGTCCAGCTTCTGGGTCTGGTCCCCCAGTGAGTTCTTGTCAAGGCTGAACCTGGGTGGGAGACAGCCATGGCAGGAGAGGGATTTCCAAGCAGGATTAAGGTTCAGGATTAAGTCGGGCCATGAAAAGGGGTCGGGTGGGGAGGGCTGGCGGCTGAGCTAATCCCAGCAGCTAATCTCAGGCTCCGCCCTCCTCCATCGTTAATGGCCTTGACATTCCCATAGCCCACCAAATCCCTTCCTTACTCATCCCCGGTCCCAGAGAGAGGTGTCCCCTCCGCTGTCTGGGTGTGGAAATTGACACTAGAGCCCAGATGACTCTTTTCTGGTACAGTAGCGAGTGTTCCAGCCTGTGGGTGTGGCCAGCGGATGCTGCTTACTCCTCCCCGGCCACTCTACAGTCTGCATTTAAGAGGGGCTGGAAACCCACGCATAGAGGCAGCTCCCCTGGCTCCCCACCCTGCACCCCAGCCCAGTGCCCGATGAATCCTGCCCAGACCTGTCTTCAGGGACCCTCTGCTCTAGAGATCTCTAATGGGCAGGAGGTCTATTAAATGGCACTGCCCCCACCTCCGCAGGGACAGTCAAGAGAGTCCCTCCCGGGCCTCGCCACCTTCATGGCCGCCCTCCCTCTCAGACCCCCCTTTTTGGTCACTGCTCTGGCTATCCCTCCCTGGATACAGTGCCTCTTTGGAGCAGACTATCAACCTGAGCTCCACCTTTAAGGCCCAATCCCCAGGGGTCCCCTCTTACCTTCTAAGAGGACAGGAAGGATCTTCTCTCTGGACTGCATAGGGCTCCCTCTTAGGGGTGTGCCCTCACCAGGGAGAGACAGAGAGAGGGAAAGTGAGAAATCACCCCCCCCGGGGGGAGATGGCTACACCACAGTCCCTCTCCATTCTCCTTCCAGGATCTTGGGCATGCACACACATGTGCCCAGCTTGAGTTTTAAACCACCAGGCCTGGGACTCGAACTGCAGTCAGCCATGTGGGAGTCCAGAGACATAACCGCTACCCCATCTGCTGGCCCCAGGGCTCCCACCCAGTTCTCGCTATTGGATGAGGGAAAGGAGATGCTTCTGAAGACTGGGCACCTAGCAGAGAGGCTTCTCTCTCTTTAATGCTCCTAACTCTTTGTGGGTAGGAACTGGCATCCCCTTTCACCGATGGGGAAGCGGAGGTCTAGAAGGTTAGATGGCCTGGCCAGGGTTACACTTCAGTGAAATGCACGCAAGCATGCCAGGCACAGGGACACTTGAAACTCAAGGTCCGTGCTGTCTCTCCTTCCTGGAGTTTGGTGGTCAGCTCTGTGATCCTCCCGTAAGGGCAGGGGCAGGGTGAACCGGACCCCTCTCTAACCCCTCTTCCACTGGCCCTGCCAGAGCCAGCCGGGACGCAGCGTGGACACACTCGCAGGCCGCTGTGGCCCCAGCCCCGCCTGTCAGGATGAGCGGCTCCGACGCGGGGCTGGAGGAGGAGCCCGAGCTCAGCATCACTCTCACCCTGCGGATGCTGATGCATGGGAAGGTAAGAGCAGTGGCTTTGCCGTGGCTTGGCAAGGGGGGAGACCACGACTGGGCCTTGGTGGCTCTCGGGTGTCCTGTCTTCTGTGGAACCCCAGCCCAGGTCAGGAGAGGGACTGGGCCTAGGACAGTGGCCCCCTGATTCCGCCCTTCTCTTATTTGCAGGAGGTGGGCAGCATCATTGGGAAGGTAGGTGCCCGCTCTGCCCTGTGCCCCTCCACCTGCAGGGAAGGAGGCGGCGACCATTCAGGGTGACAGCAATTCTCTTTCC